GGACCAAAGAGATCCATGTGCAAAAGTTGAAGCGGTCTAGACGTTGAAACAACGTTTTTAGACTTAAACGAAGCCCGAACTTGCTTCCCCTTTTGACATGCATCACATATGGTGTCTTTTTCAAACTTAAGTTTTGGGATGCCAATTACTAAGTCTTGTGAAACCAATTTGTTCAAAAGGTTCATGTTCATATGAGCTACCCTTCGGTGCCATAGCCAAGTGTCTTCCTCTTTACTCATGAGGCACTTAGCAAAGCCGGAAGGAGATTTGTCTAAGTTAACCATATAGATGTTATCGATTCTATCACCACGTAGAATGACCTTATTGTCACTAAGGCGTTCTACTGTGCATGATTTTGAATCGAAGGTCACACGGTTTCCCTTGTCACATAATTGACTTATGCTCAAGAGATTGTGTTTAAGACCTTTAACAAGCAAGACATTATCTATGGACGAGTCTTCGGACTTACCTACTGAGCCGACCCCTATTATTTTTCCTTTGCTGTTGTCTCCAAAAACTACGTTTCCTCCTTTAGCGGGTTTGATTTGTAGGAACTTGGATGCATCTCCGGTCATGTGCTTGGAACATCTGCTATCAAGGTACCAAAGTACACTTGATACCTTCAAGCATACCTACAAAGATGATTTAATAAGATTTAGGTACCCAAGTCTTTTTGGGTCCTTGAGTGTTAGGTGCAAAGTAGTGTGATTCATTTTGTGCCCAATGCCTATGCCTAGTAAAGCAAACGGGAGCTATATGTCCTACCCTATTACAATAGTGACAAACTACGTTTGGGTTATGCATCCTCCTAGGTTGATAGTAGTTGCTAGGGGGCCTAACTGTATTTATCCTGTTTTGAAAAAAACTTGGTTTTTGAAAATTTTCCCTTCTAGGTGTTCTAGGATTATTATGTCTATTTGAAAAATTATTTTTATGCACAGAATTATTTTGATAACTTTTCCTAGGTTATCTATCATGCACATTTTCATTCCTAGGTTTTTGTCTAGGTTGTCTAGTGTCCCTAGGTTGACTAAATTTTCTATTATCCTGATTTTTAACTTTCTTATGTTGAGCCTTAGGATGTTTTCTAGATGTTTGCTCAACGTCTTTATCCTTAGATTCATTTTTATCAAAACCTATTCCTTCCTTGGAAAAGTGCATGGTGTCTAGAAGTAAATTAAGATCTTTGTGTGGTGTATTAAACTTCTTAACCGTACTCTCAAGTTTTGCAACTTTTTCTTTTAAAGTTTTGCAAGATTCACATTCATTTGAAGAACTTTCTGGTTTGTCAGCGCTTCTCTTACCATAAAATTTATTTTCTTGTTTCAACCTTTCATTATCTTTTTCCAGTTTGTCAAAATCATTTTTAAGAGTTGAAAGTTGTTTCTTTAAAGATTTATTGGTTTTAGAAGCGCTAACAAATTCATCATAAAGCTCATGAAGTGCTTCTTGCATTTCTTCAAAAGTATAAGAGTCGGAAGAATTGATACATACCTCTTGAACGTCGTCAGTTTGATCTTCGTGCGCCATGAGGCAGAGGTTGGCGGCTTCCTCCTCTTTTTGATCCGTTGACTCATCCCCGGAGTCGCCTCCCCAAGAGATATAGGCGCGTTGCTTTTTGAAGCCAGGTTTGTCCTTGCCGCCTCTGCTTTTTGGACACCTCGGCTTGATGTGGCCTATCTCACCACAACCATAGCACTTCGGGGGCCCGTCGTGCTTTCTTCCTTTTCTTTCAAATTCTTTCTTCATGAATTTGTGGAACTTCTTGATGACGAGTCCGAACTCGTGGTCATCGTCGCTTGAGTCATCTTCCGCGGACTCCTTGGTTGCTTTCAGCGCTATACCCTTCTTCTTTTGTTCATCCAAAGACGGGGTTAGGATAGTGGATTCATAAGTTTTGAGATTACCTCTTAGCCCGTCGATGGTGACATTTGAGACTCCGATGGATTCATAGATTGCGTCTGCCTTTGATCTCCATTCGGGTGTGAGGCTTCGCAGGATTTTCCTCACGAGATCCCTGTTGGTGTACGTCTTCTTGAGAGCGTGAAGGTCGTTGATGATTTTTGAAAACCGATCGAACATGTCATCGATCTTTTCTCCTTCCTTCATCCTGAACATTTCGTACTCCTGCGTTAGGAAGTCAATTTTGGCTTCCCGAACTTGGTCCGTACCTTCATATGTGACCTCTAGCTTGTCCCACATTTCTTTGGCAGTGGTGCAGCAAGAAATCTTACGATAATCATCAGGATTGACGGCACAGTACAGCATATTGATAGCCTTGGCGTAGTTCTCCACCTTTTTGATGTCCTCGGCATCAAATTCGTCCTCGGTCTTTGGAACCGTGGTTTCTCCTAC